AGGCAGCTGCTCCATAGCTCCCTTGAGTGTAACCATACTGGCTCTGTGCTGCCCCAAAAGCAGAATTTGGGCTTCCGTAGGCACTGCCATAGGTCTTGTTGGCTCCGTTGGCATAACTGTCACCACGCTCACGGTCTCTGAAGCCACCTGAGTCTCTCCGGCCCTCTTTCACTCCCCGGAGCCTCCTGTCACACTCCTCCTGGTACATCAGGTTAGGGTTGTTTACTGAACTGCTCGTTCGGTAACGAGAACGACCTCCTGGCGATGGATATATTAAGATTTAGTACCGTGAACAAGTCTTAAACAATGAACTCTGGTACAATGATGCCACCCTTTCTCCCCTTCTACCTCCACAATTCTGCCCACAAGGAGTTCTCTTGACTGTCTACAACTTCCCTGCACAGCTGTGCATATGTCTCTTCATTTTGTTCAAGGTGTAAATACTAAGTTCAAAAGGGGTTCTTCTAAATGCATGCGGTCAGAGACAAAGAAAGTGAAGAAATTCAGGACTAACTTGGAAATATAATGAAACTTACTATTCCTTCAGGGAATGGGAGGAAAAATAGTCTCAGTCCCTGAAGGTAAAGTCCATGTATCCCTTCCTAAGTGCATGCACACACATTCTGTTGCCTGTGCTTAGGTTGGAACTGCAAGGAATTAATTAATTTAAGCAAAATTAGCTCTGTGAGGAAATTATCAGGAAAAAAAAAATTGTACAGCTGAGGTACAACAATGGACTAACTCTTTTGGACAGAAATACTACCTCTACATAACGTGTCAAGATCTCAAGTACAAAACAGCTTTATTGCTAATCTACTGTTTGTTATCTTAGACTTGCACTTACTACTTCCCTACCCTCTTTTAATCTTCCCTCCCTCAAAATAGGGAACCTATTCCCTGTGTAGCCCTTTTCCCATGTGCTTTTACCTCCACCACCACCTCCTCCTCCTCTGTGGTCCACAAGCTGCATCAGCTTTGGGTTGATGGCTTGATTGGCTTCTTCCAACACTTTGATAAGCTCCCTGGCTTGTTTCAGGTTTCCTGGCGTGAAGAAGGTGTAGGCAGTACCTTTGTTGGTACTACGTGCGGTACGGCCAATACGATGCACATAATCTTCAGAGCTGTTCGGATAGTCGTAGTTTATCACAAATTTAACATCTTCCACGTCTTGTGAAGTGCCCAGGTGCGAAGCACAGTGAAGGGGTGGGGTTGAGGAAAGGGGAGAAGAAGAGAGGACGTGCCAACGAAAGGTGGGGAGCACGAATGCAGGTGACAGTAATAAGAAAAAAAAATACAAAGTTAGTAATTGCATGGAATAAATACAAGACAGACTCATCCCAAAAGAGTACAAGACTCCAATTTAAGATTATCAGGAACAAAGACGAGTGCCCTGAAAAACAGTGTTAATTTTAAAGCAGTTTTGCCCTGCACTCAAATTCATCCTCCCCGGAATGCATTTCTCTGTCTTCATGTGTCAAAGACACTGATGTTTGTGAATGAGCTAACTGAATTTCATACTTTAAAAAAAAAAAACAAACAAAACACAATCTGGAAAGTGAAAATGCCACCATCAGACAGAGCAAACTGGGGTGGAGGAAGGGCAGAACTGCCACAGTAAAGCTTTTACTCTGTTGGGAGAAGTCTAACAAATAGTAACGGTAATGAGATCACTTACCTTACACTTGGTAACATGAAATAAAAGGCAATCTTAAAAATATTTACTTTTACAGTCCTAATAAAATACAGTGCACTACTTTCCCTAGCCTAAAGCTTAAGACACTCCAATTATATTAGTATTATTCAGCCAACTCATTACAAATTATCCAGACCTAGAATATCTTAACTCAGCTTTGTAGTTACCACCAGAATGCATTGCACTAACATTTCACCATGCCGTTCTGTCCAGTTCTGGCAAGTTTTTGTAATTTGGACAATCCTGAATTCCATTAACAATTCCCTACTTCCAGTGTCAGATGGAAGCAGGAAATGAAACAATCAAAATTGCTTTGTATACAAAATAACATTAATATTTAGGAGATCAGAACTGCATGCCTTTTGGGAAGTCAGACTTTGTAAACTTATGGGACAGAAACAAAGTAAATGTCAGTGTAACACTTCCATGAAAGCACCTCAACACCAAAAGCACCTGTTTGCTACATTATACAATACTTTAAAAATGGTATTAACAGTAAGTGCCCTAACAGCTCATAAAAAAAAAAATAAAAAATCTGCATTTTAAGAAGGATATTCTGAAAATATCCAAGATAAAACACAGATTTTTGTTTTCCTTTCCTTTTGTTTTTTGTTGTTTTAAAGAGAGAAACATTCTCTGTTTGTTACCAGACCGATGCACACTCCCTCCTCCTGTGGGAAACCGCTGCAGCCGATCCCGTCTCTTTGCCTTTTATTTTTGGCGGCCTCCTTTCGAAAACTCCGCCCTCTGACACGGGACCACTGGAGCGCCGGGAGCATGCATCAAGGGTCCATGGCAGCGAGAAGTCCCCACACACGCTCGCTCTGTGAACTGGCTTAGACGCTTCTCTGTAGCCCCATTTGGTTGTGAAGCGCCGGAGAACCTGGCTTCAGGTAAAAGTTTCAGGTCCTCCAACGCTTTTTGTCCCCTATTCGGGGTTCTTAGGGGCAATTGTCAAAAAAATGAAGATACAAAAATTACATCCAAAGGGTCGGACTGCATCTATTGCCCAGACTGCATCAATTTCAAAGGGGTTGTAGGAAAAATAAAAACAAGAGGGTTGTAGTGACAAGAGGGGGACTTTATGTCTGTTTCTTATTACAGCAAAGGCAGGGGCTCCTCAGTCTTTGCTGACTCCAAAGTCCTGAATCACACCAAAAAAAGGGAGTGAGAAGGCAGGTTTCACAGGGGGCTGCGCGAGTCTCCAGCTAGGGTCCTTGATGCAACAGAGTTTTTTTAAAGAAGTAAAGAGAGGAGTACGTATGACAGATTGCATCTTCACAGCCAGGGTGTAACTAGTCTGACAAGCTGCAGGCTACGTGATCCTCAGTCAGTCCCGTTTTGCACATCCATCAGCAGCAAAGCGACATGAATTACCAGAGAAGATACAAGGACATGCTTTCCTGGCAGAAAGCACAGGGAATTGTAGCTACCGATGCAGACGGAACTGACTTGACTGGGGAGGAGCGGGAAGAATGGGAAGGCAGGAAGAGGAAAACGCAAGGGTGTTCTCCAGACTAGGAAGTGGTCCTGGTAGAGCACACAGCTCGCTGAAGAAAAGACCAGAGCAAGTACAAGACTCGGCTTCTCCAGTCTAGCATGCTCCGAAGCGTTTGCACACACTCACAATCTTCCTGCGCTTTTAGAAGATAATGTAGCAGGATCAAGAATTGAAACTGTACATCGTTTTTGACAGCTACCTGGGAAATGTTCCCCTTGTCAGACCATCAAAACACCCTACGGCACAGACAGTCTCCGATTATTAATCAGGAGAGAGAGAAACTAGCAAACATGCTAGTCTAGAGAGCTGTTTAGACCATCAATGTAGATGTGCCCCCACCCCTGCACTGAGAATGATCTGCAGCTGATATCAAAGCTTCTGTTAAAGAAAACAAAACAAAACAAATTCAATGTTTTTAGTTTAATAGACTGAACAAAAACTAAAGTAAAAAAAAAAAAAAAAATCAGTGCAGAGAGAGGACCTCACTCCAGGGAATTATCACAAAGAAGTCATTACGGGACTCAGAACTTACCTGGAAGAAGCTTTTTTGAAACCAATGTTCCATTAGGAAGAGGGAAAGCCCTGGTGACTCAGCCAAAAGGCGCGCGCCCCTGTTTTATGTTATTTAGGTAGAAGCCTTCACTTTCCAGGATCTTGGAGGAAGTCGTCCAGAAGTTTGCCAGTTAAGTGACTTATTTTAAGAAGCAGCAAACTCAGGGCCCCAAAACAAGCAGAGATGTTGTTCAGTAACAAGAAACAGACTCTGGTACCTTTCCCCCTTAGCTCAGGTGAAGTGGAGGAAGGGAAGTGGGGAGACTGTTTTCTGAAGTGTTATCCAATTGAGTAGTTTTGGGGGGAGTGTTTTTTTTGAGGGGGGTGAGGCTGTTTTAAATGTCTAGGCAAGATGCACAAAGAAGCTACCAGCACATAGCAAGCCTGTTTAAAAAATGCTGCTAGAGAAAGCAGCTCTCTTTCATATAAAGTGGTTTCAGGCCTCAGTCCCTTCTCCCAACAGGCCCAAGTTCTAACTGCACAGGTCCAGACATGACCCTAGAGGGCAGAGACTGAAGTCCATATAATCACCTCTCTGAGGAAGTGTTGGACGTTTTTTGAGGGGGGAGGGGAAGGAGGGGTGAAGGTTGTGTGAACAAAGGCTGCCAAGTCTAGTAATGGTCTGCCTGTATTGAAGTGACTGTTATGATGCACAGCACAGCCACCCTTTCAGCATAGAAAAAAGAGAGAGCTCAGAGAACTGAGATTTTTAACAGCTAGAGATTCTTCTGAGCTTATTTGCCATGACTTGCAATAATTTTGTCTAAAATTTACTACTACAAGATATCAACTCCCAAGTAGCTTATCTTCTACCAAACTCAGGGAAGGGACGATATTCAATGTCCATTATTAAACTCAGGGCACTTCAGAAGTCATCCTCCTCTTCTAGAGTGGGCAGACGTGCAAGGACTGTGTTTAGCACACAGTGTTTCACAATTCAGATGCTTATTAAAAAAGGGGGCACAACTGATGCATCCAGACAGATCATTTTCATATCACCAGAACAGAACTGTGCAATTCTGATTCAATTACACATTTGGGTAACATGATGCTAAAGGCCATATATAATCTCGGTGGCCCTGCCTAGAAGGAACACAGAGGAGGGAAGGTTATATGTCAAGACCAAAGATCTGGAGCAGTGCTTTCTCAGATGTGAACACATCTGCGGGGTAAACATGCGTGTACACTGGGGTTGGTATGTTCAAATCTGTGGTGTGGCATACAGGGAGAATATTAGCTATTTGCTGTTGAAATGTTCTCCCACAACTTCCTACTTGAACTTTATCTGACACGCTCTGAACTGAGAGCAATCCATCCCTATCATCCAGCAACAAAAGCTGGATTTGGGGAAGAAGTGAGTGTGGTGGAAGGGTTGGGTTGCATAATTGGACGTCTCTTCTCCCTCTTGGCGATCGATTGGTCATGCCTAGGCCTTGCTGCAGACCAAAGCCTGTTCATTAGGAGCAGGAAGAGACTTTGAATATGAAAGAAAAAAAAAAGATTAATGTTAAAAAACGTATTTCACATGTGGGGGAAAATCACGCTTTGAATTTTTTTTTTTTTAAAAAACAAAACATATTTCAGTCCAAAGAAGAAAAATAGGCAGCAGTAGGCAAGAGTGGTCTATGTGTACAAACCTAGCCCACGAGATGCAACGTCGGTAGCAATGAGGATAGGAGCCTTTCCAGAACGAAACTCTGTAAAACAAAGCATGCTATGAAGTAAGATTTTTTCCAAAAAGATAAAATTACCTGAACTTGATTTACACTAAATGCTCGTTTTCCACAATCTAGGTAAGATGGGTCAACGCCATGGTTTAATCAGTCAATTTCAGAAACCCCAGCAAGTCAGGATATAATACGTTAACTTTTTTCAATATCCAGCTCTCTGAGTCAAAGCAATTTTCCCACTCTGTTTTTGTCAAATAAGAACAAAAAAAGGGCAAATATAAGCACCAAAATTAACAGTAAAAGGGCAAAGGAAGTTCTTTTGAATGTATCTACTGGGTATAGAGACAAAAAAAAGACGACCAGAGAAACGCACATCTCAGTAAATTGCGTACAGCAGCCCAAGTTACTCTCCCCTCAGTGATGGACTCACCATTAAGCACCCAATCTCTTTCTGGCTGACTCTTGTCTCCATGGATACACATAGCGGGCCAACTGCCAAACAGACATGCACATTAGTATAGACAGAAAGTACATACACTAAAGACAATAGGAAACTTTATTGGCATTTCAGTGAAAAAAAAGACTTGAGAAATATTTTATTCTCTGGCCTGTACCTACCTAGCATGTATACTGGTTTGCTTCTTGCATGTTAAACCCACTACGTACACAACCAACCATCTAAGCCAACTCACATTCGCTAAACTGATACAGTTCCGATAAGCGTATCGGTATTCTGATACACCAAAAGCTGCCCAGCTTACAAATACTCTCTCTTGCACTAACGCTTCGATGGACTGGAACCTTCTGGGAAACTAAGACTGAATTCATCGAAGAAAAGAATAGAGAAGTTGTTCCCAACAACAGCATCACGAACACTTAAACCTTACTGCTTCTGATTACAATTTGTTTCCCACTAGAAACAAGAGGAGGGAGGGGGGAAGCTAATCACCCATCTCTGCGCATCCTTCGAGTGAGATCATCACATCGTCTCTTTGTCTCCACAAAGATGATAGTCTTGTTTTCCTTCTCTGCCATGATTTCTTCCATCAGTTGTATCAGCCTAAAACAGACACGAGAGCTAAGATGTATATCCACGTACATGAGAAAACAGGAGCGCTCTCTCAGCTACACTGAGAACACACACAACACGCATCCACACAAGTCAGTCAGTACCACACAGAATTTAGGTCTGTTGTACAAGGGCATGGTGAGAACATATGCAATGGAATAGTTAATTACAGGACTCATTTTGTAACACTCAAAGGTTAAATAACACTATGAGTAATTTCACTATTTGGAATTCATATTTGGCTTTCAAAGCAATGTAGATTTTTAAGTACTACCGAAAAAAACGAAATGGGAGGAAAATCAGCTTACTTATGGTCTTTCTCGCTTTCCATGCATACATCCACTATCTGCAGGATATTGTGGTTGGCACTCAGCTCCAAGTTTCCCACGTTGATCTGAACATAGTCCTGCAGGAAGTCCTCAGCAAGCTGGCGCACTTCTTTTGGCCAGGTGGCACTCCACATCAGAGTCTGTCTGTCGGGCTAAGAAAAAGGGAAAACAGATTTATTTAAGGTATTGGACTTTGAATGGGAAACTAAAGGAGGCTGTCCTTTTACAAGGTTCACGCACCCTTATCTGGTCAACAATTTTACGAATTTGGGGTTCAAATCCCATGTCCAACATCCTGTCTGCTTCATCCAGCACCAGGTACGTACACCGACGAAGGTTGGTCTTTCCCGCCTCAAGGAAGTCAATCAAGCGACCTGGTGTAGCAATGCAGATCTCCACACCTTCAAAACAGAATGAGGAGAAAGAGTAAGGCTCTTCATTTGAATGTCAATTGGTATTTTTAGTCATAATGAATCACCTTCCAGAGCAAAATTGTTAAAAAAAAAAAAAAACACCACCCTCATTCGTATCAAAGATTGAGTCATTTCAGTAGAAGCCCTAGTTTCTTTTAATAATTTTTTTCCATTCTGAAATTACTGTTACAGTGCCATTAGAAAAATAAATGCAGTACAGAAGCTAAAAGCTTACTGTCAGAAAACACCAGTGAAGAGCTGTCCAAAAATCAGAGGTAAAATAAGTTTCTATTCAAGCCTGACCCACCTTCATCCCAAATTATGCAGCCTAGAGAGCTCTCTAGAAAATAAGAGCAAACTACAGCTAAACTCCCCATGTTAATCAAACATGAAGTGCCCCTCTTGCTATACAGGTCAAATTACTTCCACTTTTCTTTTTTCTAATATGTAAAGCCAAAGCATGGGCTAATATTAACAGTGACAGACAACCATCCTGCCTGCATTTGTTAGTGTAAAAACAGAATTCAAATACTCAACCTAATATCAAGTATGGCAATTTATACATTCCTTAAAAAAAGGACTGTTTTCCATCGATTCCCAGATCTTACAGATGAGTCCTTCAGTGTCACTAAAATGTCCACAGAAGGTAAGTTTAGGGAAGCAGGGGGCTGAAAAAGAGCAAAACCCCAACAGCTTTCTTGATACTGCACTTACAGATGCAGAGTATTTTGTGGCAACCCAAATCTTTTTGTCTGTGTCAACCTGGACTCCTCAGAGCTGACAAAGCTGGGCATACTTCTGGTTTCTACAAAGCTCATACAAGAATTAATTAAGACTTCTAATGGAGCCACTGCTCTGCCAGGGAGACTGAATAAACTGCAATCTCTGTTGTCAATGATGTACTCCTCTGAAGTAAATTCACTAAATACCTCAAAGATCACAACTGTGAAAATAAAAAAGTTTTCTGACTCTATCTGTTCAATAATCTTTGCTACAGAAAATACTAAGCAATCATCCAAAGACAGTAACATCTTGAAAGGACTGAGAGCACTGAACATGCCCACATCCTCTAACCAAAGGGTTTGCTTCGTCCGCAGAACACGTTTTACAGCAGTCCACAAAGATGTGCAAAAACCCACCAAGCTGATGCTCCAAAGGTCTCTTCATGTAACCTTTGACTCTTCCCTTGAAGATGTTACTCTACAATTGGAATGCACTACCATTTTCTTGAAGAGAGCTATCCCACAGCCTTCTACCATGCGTGCCTTTATCCCATTACTGCAGTTGTCAACAATGACTCTGCAAACTGCAGTGGTAAGCAAAATTTTCTGATTTCTTGAGTAGATCTGTATATATAAGCTTACCTTGTTAATACTTCTTACATCTTTTCACATAATTCTACTATTTTTTTTTAATCTAGTGAAGATGAAAGCCATCAGCACACCCCTGCATTTGAAATTATATGTAACTAGCCCTTGAAACGAAGGTTAGGTCACTTGAGCACTACCGTGTGACAGTGGGTGCTGCAGAACCATGGTTTCTCATCACTTCCAACTCCAGCCCCCTGCTATGTACGGAAACGCAGTTACAGAATGTCATGGCGTACATGAACAGAAATAGAGCTCAGTGCTAAAGAACAACCTAAAAACCCAAATCATACTGTGTAAAGAACCTTCTATACATTCAGAAATTAAGTTTGATTATTTGAACAAGCCTGGGCAGAAAACTTGAAATCTGGCTTAAGAAAAATCATTCCTTATGCTCGCTGCCACTGTGTTTCTTCAAAATAACCTGTTCTCTTTCTGGTAAGTTTCCTTCCCTTTCCCCTTCCTTTTCCTTTTCCCTAAGATCCTGATGATCTTAGCAAGTGGAAAGTTCAAAGAGAAAACAGAAAGGAAATCTAATATCCAAATAAGTCACTACACAACAAAGAAGAGAACTACCTCATGAACTATCATTGTAACTGGAGAAAGAGGTGGTCACTCTTTCATGCACTCCCTTTTCCAAACAGGTTTTAAGAAGATAATTTTCTTTTTGCAGAGATTTTACAATATCACCTCCTCCACAAACTGCAAACAGCCATTTTAAAATTACCTCTTTCTAGATCTCTGATTTGGGGACCTTTGGGTGCTCCTCCATATATGCAGGTACTCTTGAGTCTTGAGCACTTGCCATAATCATCAGCGACCTGCTGCACTTGCTGGGCCAGCTCTCTAGTAGGTGCTAGAACCAGACACTGCAAAAGGAATAGATTCAGGGTAGGCAAGCTGCATACACATCCCTAGCTTAAGGGCTACGCATAGATACCGTAAGCAAAGTTGGACCATCTGCTCTTTATTAGCTAAAACATTTAAACATCTTTAGGCTACGTCAGCAATTGCACAAAATTTCAGCTAACGAGTGGGACGTTCACATTGTGATAGTAAACATTTCTCTACTTACTATTCCCATATTCCAATGAAATAAAGTACACATCTCATTAATGATGCCATGCCATACACACAAAGAGAACTGACAAGCACTTACAATTGGGCCGTCCCCTCTCTCCAAATATGGCTGGTGGTTGATGTGAACAATTGCAGGCAACAAGTACTAAAACAGAAGAATTTTAAGTCAAGATACAGGACTTCAACATTCAATGCCAATGACGTCCTGCCATGACAATGGACCATGGCAAGATCCCATTTAGCTTAACATCCCTTCAAGAAGCCAACATCTGATGTGAGAGACGGCAAGAAACCTTGGCTATATAAAAATCAGGATTCTACAAAAAGAGATACTAGCATTTATCCAACAGAACCAAACATTTTCAGAGCTGCTGACCAACACACCTGCTTTGACGTAAGTACAAAATATAGTTGCTCAGCACTTCTGAAATGAAGGCTCATTTAAATTTGGAGCCTAAGGTAGTAGAATTGAGCATCCTTGGCTCTCATCAATGCTTTTCATAAAATGCCTTCTTAACCACTGCAGATAAAATTAATGTATACCTTGGAAACTCAACCTTTTTTAACTTGCATAGTTAAGAAAACAAATACTTTAAAAAGCACATGCTATTTCCTAAAACACGACATAGGCACAGAGCAAAGAGAAGCCACTAAGCATCCAAGCAGAAAGAGATACAAAATACTTGCCTGTGAATAAGACAGGCTAGTTGAGTCTCACCCCTGATGCAACAAAGCAAGCTTTAAAAAACACATTATCTCACTTTATGCTTGCAGTACTGACAAGCTCAAAACCTACTAGCAAGTAGCCAAGGGTAATTTCTGCAAAGCGACCAGGAGAACTAACTAAATAAAAGGGAAGAATACATACTGCTAGTGTCTTCCCAGAGCCAGTCTGCGCAATGCCCACCATATCACGACCACTGAGGGCTAGTGGAAAGCCTTGGCACTGAATTGGAGTGGGTTCTGTGAAGTTCTGGTCCATCAAGGCATCCATCACATACTCTAAGAATTTAAGAAAAAATTTCTTAAGGATAACTGAGGCTTCAGAAAACCTTTTAGAAAACAGAACAGGGCTAAACAGTTATTGTTTTTGAGTAATCCTCATTTTCTTAAAGAATGGCAAAGTACTTACGTGGAAAGCTACACTGGTGGAAGGCAAACACAGGCTTGGGACAGCCCTCCATTCCTCGAATCGTTATCTCCTTCTTTCTTCTCAATTCTTCTACTTCATACTATTTATGTGGAAATAAAAAAAAACAAAAAAAACAAGACAAATGCTGAATCTCAGCAGGGACTTAAAGTGCGTGTTTCTAACTATAAACTCACTTCACACCTCTGGGTAACTGCTTCATTAGAGAGTCGAATTGAAATGGAGATCTAAAAAGGACTGCTTCCTAAAGATTTTATCTTGAGATTGAGCTACTACATAGCTTCTCCAATATTCAGAGGTATGAGCTCTCTATGCAGTCTAGGACTAATGTTTCTCTCTTCTTTTAACCAGCCCTTTTTAATGAAAAGTGTATTAATATGGTATTTTTAAGAATTTTACTCGTCTTCCAGAAGCCAGAAATGACCCATATTTTCAAAAGTTATTAGAAACAGAGGATCAGATAAGAAACATGATTCATATGACAGTCCTAAGAACTAAACAAAATAAATAGGCCCTAATATACTATGAACAAGCAGAAGGCAGGACAGTTCCCCTCCTTCAATGAACACATTCCAGAGACGGTTAAACACAAAGCTCTTGCTGGACAACTTGCAACTCAGAAACGTTGCTCAGAATCTTTTCAGAACCAGCACTTCTTTTCTACATGAAAGAAGCCCAGACAATGTCATAGTGATACTCTAAGACCTTGCAATTTTTTAAATAATGGAAACTCTTCAAATATTTCTGAAATGTGTATCCACATAAGCATAATTTTAGGATTAGAAGTGTTTTATCTTTGTCTAGGTTATCTTGCCAGTCCAACTGTGCTTTGCAACGTGTCTCCACAATTCATGACCTTATTCTAATGCTCATTAAAAATCAACAGAAAGATACACATCAATACCAAACATGCACTTTATCCAAAGCAATAAATTTACTATTTGTGAGAATCTCTTGAGCTTGAATGAACAGGTAAAAAAAGAAAACAACTTCTGGGGAAAACACAAAAACTCTTTTAGTTGGCTAAGGCAAAGACAGCTACCACAGCTAACGCAAACTGTGATTCAGTAGTTCAAGCTGTTGTCTCTCTTTTAAAAAGCCAATGCCTCCTTCAATTCCTTTATGCCATATAAATACCTCATGAATATTTTGCATAAGAATTTGTAAGTCTATGTAATTAGATAAGAACATTTTGTTTGTTTCATCATATTAAGAATGAAATCTCTTAACTTCTAAATATAAAAAGGCATTAAAGAGGGAAAAAAAGACTTCTAGACTCCAGTTGGGTAGGAAAGGGAGATTACTGTATCTACAGCGTAAACAAAAAGTACGGCATCCAGTTTTGAGCCCTCAGTTTAAGAAGTGCACTGTTTTAACAGGGCACGTCCAGTTATGGGGGAAAGCTAGAGGCTGGAGTACAGGCAGTACAAAGATCGGGAGCACTAGATTTACTTAGCTTGGGAAACAGAGGACTAATGGGGGAATTTAACATTTAACTGCTATTTTCAACTACCTGATGGGTCACTATAGAGAAGATGTTGCAAATAATTATTGGGGGGGGGGGCATCAGAAACATTGAGCCCTGGCACAGCCACCCAGAGAGGATATCCAAACTCAAAAAGATAAGGCACTAAGCAACCTGCTCCAGTTCTGTAGTTAGCCCTGCTCTGAGCAGAGGATTAGACTACAAATCTCCCATGGCCTCTTTCAGCCTGAATTATTATTACAATAAAATGCTCTTTCAAATGTTTCTCATATCTTTCTGCCACTCTTAGTTCACTATTTTCGGTTCTTTCAGGGCCTCCCCAGTACTGCAACTCTCAAGCCCTCTAAGTCTCATCTATACTGATGAATAGCTGCATCAGACAAGTGTTATGATGATGAATTACAAAGGACCAAACGTAAAATACCTTGCATAAGAACAGCTAAGAGCAGAAGCATCACCTTTGCTAACGTTAAATATTGAAGGCAACTAGATGCAGCATCCTGCAGAGTAGACACATACCAAACAAGCTTAACGAAAAGACAGTTCTATGACACACTGTCTCAGACTTCCTAGGACAAGTTTTTCCACTTGTGACATTTTCTGTTGTAGGCAAAATGGAACAGACAGGATCTGAACACTTACCGGAGTAAGCCTGGCCACTTCTGGATGTTCCACGTAAAAATTCTTCTCAAACTTGGGTAGTTCATTTAAATCCCATTTTTTCTTACGTAAACGTTCTCCCGGATTACCAAATTTCTTTGGAGGAAGAGGACCTCCACGACTTGCTCCGAACCTGGGAACATCAATGTTAGTTATAAATAAGAGTATTTAATCACTCCGGAATTTGTAGGTTTCTTACACATTTTCCACTCTTTTTTCCTCCTCCCCCAATTGCTATGAAGGCATACAACTTCTTGCAGTAACATAAACCTGCTTTAAGTCAGTTCTAAACCCAAAACCATCTTGAAGTTTCCTTCCAGTACAGCCATTTGTAAGTCACCACCTTAAAGCCCCTGTCTCTAGGTTTCTACCTCAAGGTTCCCTCCCTCAGGACAATGCTGTGAGCACAGCTATAGCATTTATCTTTTCTTGAAACTACCAGTACACTTAAAACATGGTCAGACTGAAGGGATGAGAAAAATATCTAAACAGAAGTTCCTTGAATCTCTCTCAAGGTTAGTTTTACACAAAAATAGGTACTTCATTGCCTTCCTCTCTATGTATTTTCTCCTTTCTTATCAAGCAGTATGCCTCAAATGAAAAACAAAACAGAGCAAAGAGCAGAAAGTAAACAAGTCCAGTCAAACCTCTAATTCTGAGACCAAAGCAAGTGAAAAAAAAAAAAAAATTAAAACCAGAGTCAAACAGGGGGGAAAAAAAAAAAAAAAAGTACCCCGGAAAAATCATATCCTCTCTCAAATGTTTTTGATGAAGACTCAAGAGAAGCTACTGTTTATTCTGCTAAAAAATTCCAAACTAGCAGAACTACTCAGAAGCTACTGCTCTTTCTCCACAAGTTTTCTTCATTCAGTTAAATTAATACATTTAAGAAGGTTAAGAACTAACTGTAATGACTAATTGATGCATTAGATAAAACACAAGCTTCTGGCAGTAATCTGTAGCAGTAACTGAAATCTGAGTGGCATAAAATGATTATTTACTGTAAATATTATAAATTATGTATTTTAAAATTCCACCAAAAAAAATACAGCTCTTTTATTAGTAGCATACAAACACAGCAGAAGGTCAAATTTTGTCGTAATTCAGATTTTGGTTGATAAATCTACAGCTTTTTGCAAAATACGAATTTAAGAGCCACGCCGGTTTAGAACAAGACTCTTATTTAGATAGTAAATTCAAAGCGTCTGCATCTTACCCAGGCAGTCTGCTAGTCAATAAAAAGCTGTTAACGAAACAAACCAAAAGCAACAAAAATCCCAAAGTAATCTTCTTAGACTAGTAACCGGGGGTCGGGAGTTGCTAAAAAATGAAGATCTTAAATAAATTTCTGAATTATCTTAAGTACAAGACTATCTGTTCAGACATTAACGACATTTTCTCTTTAAATCACTTCCAATGGAAACTACAAATTATACTGATTGAGAGACCAAAAAACCAGAACTCAAACCAACATAATAACAATAAAAAGCAGTTACATTGTTGGAAAAGCTAAGTATGGTAGATATAACTTAACCTGAAACCTGCTAAGTAAGTTTTAAAATGTTTGCTTTGCTGTAACTATTTCATTAAGTCTCTTCCCTCTCCTATAAAAATCCCTTATTTTCCCATCAGTATGTCTATCATATTCCCCAGATGGCCTGCAGAATCAGCAATTTTTGTCATATGTAAAGACTGTGAAACACAACTTCAAAAATTAATTTAAACATTATATTTTCTTTAATGACCAAGTTAAAAGAAATAGTATAGATTTTCATAGTATAGATTTTCAATAGTATAGATTTTTGAAAAGAGAAGACTTCGGGGGGACCTAATAGCTGCCTTCCAATATCTGAAGGGAACTTACAGGAAGGCTGGGGAGGGACTTTTTACAAGAGTGTCCACTGATAGGACAAGGGGAAATGGGTTTAAGTTGAAGGAGAACAGATTTAGATTAGATTTTAGGAAGAAATTCTTCAGTACGAGGGTGGTAAGACTTTGGAATAAATTGCCCAAAGAAGTTGTGGCTGCCCCCGCTCTGGAGTTTTCAAGGCCATGTTGGACGGAGCCTTGAGTAGCCTGGTCTAGTTGAGAGGCGTCTCTGCCCATGACAGGGAGGCTGGATTAGATGATCTCTGAGGTCCCTTCCAGCCTATGCCATTCTATGATTCTATGATTCATTTACAGGGACATTCAGCTTTACTGAAGATGTCTGCTATTGATCATGCTAACTTGATGTCAAAATGACAATTATTTCTGTATCCAAATAGTTCTAACAAACCCCATAATCTCTCTGAAGTCAGTGGGAGGTTCAAAAGGCCAATTAGTTTCCTTATGAAAGGAAACGTATGGAAGAACTGATTGCAAGGTTGGACACTGAAATGGCTGAGTACTACGAGTATTTGCTCCACAGCTATCTAGAGGGAAGAACGGCTGTATTTTACATAAGTCACATAGTTTCAGTTCTCCATTCTTATACGCAATATGGCTGTATGCTGACCTGAAAGAAGCGAGCCCTGCAGCAGTCCTCAAACACTGCCTCTGCTGAAGTTTATCCACTAAACTGGCAGTAACTGCCACTTCACATTCTGATTACATGTAAAATGAGATTCCAAATCCAGTTAAACTGATTTAAAATCTAACATTATTCCACTGATTTGCCAACAGTTCTCTTTTCAAGCATAAATTCAGACCGAGCCGAAACATTCTCTAATACTACTGGTGCCACCAATTCTGGGCCAGAACCAAGTGAACTGGTTAAATTCCCGAGCAAAACAGCACAACTTTCCATTCTAAGAAGTCACCTACAACTGGTTCCTGACAGGAGGAAAACAGAAAGTGCATACTTGATTAGCTTATGAAAGAATCAGTACTGAGATGGTGATAAACTTTCAAATGGCACTTAACCAGCATGCTGGGTGGCCCAAAATTTTGTAGAGGTTATTTATGAAGTATGATGGGTGTTAGTGGTTACAAATATTTTCACACCTCAAACAGATGTATATAACACACTGAATCCTGATGCATTAAAGCTTCCAGGCTTATATGCCAAGAAAACTATTTTCCATGCAAATGTCCAAAAACTTCTCAAAGAAGCATGTAAGCACTCCTTTCACTTATGAAAAAGAAAACAAAAATCATCTATAATCAAAGTCTTTACACAAAATGAGATTACACAAATTTTAAGGCATGCCAAGTGTTGTGACAGGGCTTTGGACAGTGTTAAGTAACTATATAAATCTGCATACTCGAACGCACTCACTGAACTCCAAAAACAGCTGGGGCCTGAACTATCTCAGACTTGTCAAACCATTTACTCCCATGTCCTTGCATTAAACTGAGCTGGAAATCTCATAGTGGAAAAACACTAGAACCGTCCTCCCTGTGAAAAAAAGTCAAAGTATCTTTTAATTTCAGAGCGTGAAACGTGGGTGTAAGATAAAGCAAGGATACAACTATCTCTCTCCACAGATGACAAGAAACTAAATGTTAAAATGCACTGCAATATGTAAACAAAATATTCCTGAATCTCCGAGTGGGGAGGAAAAACAAGAACAAAAGGAAAGGAAGGGGGAGGAAAAAAAGAAAAAAAAAAGATTGAAAAAAAAAAGAGGAAAAAAAGAGACTCATTAACTAAGATCTAGCCTGTCATATTAACAGAACCCACACGATATGTTTATTGTTAATCCTTGAGAACAGAGGCCTAACTACTTGTGATCTGAAGGACAGAAAATGCCACTCTCCTAAATTAGTTCTAACTTTCTCTTTAAAAAGTCCTGGGATGAACGTCTTATTACTTTCACCCCTTAAAAAAAACCCTCAATTCTCAAACTAGTTATATACTATAATGACATTGTATTTATTGCTGCCATCCTCGGAAGGGAAAAAAAAAAATCAAACCCGCAAAAACCCTTTCCCAAGCCAAGCTTTCTTTTAACAGTAGAATCCAGAGTATCAAGCAGCAGGCCTCTGCAGTGCCACACGGACAACTCCTGTTTGACTGCTACGTAAGCCTGGTCACGCTGGTTAAGTGCAGTGTAGGGCCATGTTTACCGCGATCACCCTCCCGAGTATGCACGTCCCCTGCACGGCAGCAGTTTTCAATCTCATTTCCTCTCACGATAAGCCTGGGAGTGCGACTGAGAAAGATCCTTCCCCAACTGCCATCTTTCTAGAAGTCCGGAAGGAGCAATGACAATCAGAAGGGCAGATCGTCCAACCACCTTTGCCAGGGCCACCAAGACCTCCGTGGTTTAGGGGTGAGGGGGGGGGGAAGCAGGGTAAAAAAGAGGAGGGCTGACAGAATATAAATTAAAGATAGAAGAGAAAGGAAAAGGCAGCCCTTAAAAGTGCAAGCGAGGCACACACGGTTACACACGAACGACGGACACGCCAAATAAAAAAACAATCCGAACCCAAACAACCCACCACCCCCCTTGCTGGCAGAATCGTACTAATACAGTCTCCGGCTCCCCCTCACCCCCACACGAGAATTTCGGAGGGAAAAGCTCCCCTCAATAACGCCGGCTTAACGCGCCCTCCTCGTCCTCACTCCTCTCCC